GAGACGGGCCCATGCTAAGGACAGGAGTGGAATCCCAGAGCTTTGCCAATTGGACTGGTAGAGTTCAACTGCATCCTCAAATTTTCCAGACTAGCACGGCACATCAAGCAAACCATCCAACCTCTCGATGAGGCGTTGACATTACAATAACAACTATACCAGCGTTTCCCACTTCATGGAACAGGAAATCAATTGGTCAAACTGCTTATGGAATAACATTTTTTTGGGGGTGGTGGGGGAAGCACAGAATATATACAACTTTTTTTTAGGTTTTTTTACAGGGTCCCAAAGATGGGATGTCAGACTCCTGCAAAAAGTAGGAGGGAGTGCCAGGATTGAGTTCGACTTCAACATATACAACACGATACCCGAGAGGTTTGGGGGGTGGTGAGACATGGTTACTCGGTCTGTGGCACGGAAATGGAAGGCCCCTTCGGGTCATCGAAGTGGTCCATGGTCTTGAGGTTGGTGATCATGTGCAGGCCGTAGGTGAGGATGAAGACCATCAGGAGGGTGGTGAGAAGGCCCATCCAGATGGCTGGGGTGAAGAAACCAGCACAGTCGCTGGCGTAGGAGAAGTGCATCCCCTTCACACCAAAGCCTTGGATCTGCGGAGGGACAAACGGGAGAAAGCAGAGAGGAGTCAGCGGCAACGCAACAGCTGTATAGGGTCAGCAACTTATCCTTGCATCCACAGTCAGCTCCCAGTCTAATTTTTAACAGTTTACGTACATACCCCGGAGGGAGTTACAGACTGGAATCCGATCGAGGGGGTTTATATACAGAATAACTGATACCCCGGGAGGGAGTTACAGACAGGAATCCGATCGAGGGGGTTCAGGGTGGTTTATATACAGAATAACTGATACCCCACGAGGGAGTTACAGACTGGAATCCGATCGAGGGGGTTCGGGGTGGGATCCCCGAAACACGGATCTGTAACAGATTACCCCGGAGGAGGGGAGCTGCGGCAGGGTCCGTACCTGGAAGTCGTCGAAGATCACATCCCAGAGGCGGGTGCTGCTGGACCATGGGAGAATGGAGCTGGCTACTTCATCCTGGGCGACGCGTTTGCAGTGGTAGGAGTACATGGCCGGAGCGTAGACCTGGGTGACGTTAAAGGAGGCGCGGTCGTTGTCCAAATACACCTCCACCTGGTCCAGGGTAAACCACCACTTCCCAGAAACCTTGTACAGGCGGTTCGACATTTTGAACCTGAGGGAGGGATGGTGGCACAAGTTGGCGGGGGGGAGCGGCGGTGTAGACAGAGAGAGAAAAAAAGTGTAAATCAAAGAAAATATGGACACGCACACACACACAGACAGACGGGCGGGCGCCAGACACACACACACACACACACACACACACACACACACACACACACAGAGACAGGCGCGCCCTGGTTGGGGATACTCACACGATGCGGACACGCCCCAGCTTCTCGATGTTGTCGTACTCCAGGACCAAGCTGCGGGGACGGGAGGTGGGGTGGGAAACAGATGAATAAAGAGGAGATAAAACAGCAGCATGGAATGGAAAACACGGTGCCCCTCTCCATCGAGGAGCTCAGACGGTGCCCCGCACCCTCCACGCCGATTCACACCCCAACCCCTCCCCCCCCAACCCACCACCATGCCCCACCACATCCCCCAGCCATGGCGCAGACAGAGATGGACAGACACACAAGTCATTGCGTGTTTCTGTGCGCATCAGAGCGAGAACGGGGTGGGGGGAGGGAGGAGGAGAAAACACAGAAATCCTTTACATCTGCTCCCCCACCACCCCCCCGCCCCCCCCCACGACAGGGGAGCAAGGAAGATGCCAAGCGGGGAGGGTTTAGAGGATGGGACGGGTGGGAATTTCTTTCTTGCCGTGGGGTCAGGAGTGGGTTCGGAATATGGAAGCAGTGGGCGCGTGGGGGGAGGGCGGGTGGAAAGAGTTGGGGTTCAGGCGCAGGCACCCCCCCCCCCACCACCCCAAACGCTGGAGGGGGTGGGGAGGAGCAGATGTGGACGTCACACGGGGTGCGCAGCGGCAGGAAGCGAGCGGACTGTGTGTTGGGGTGGGGGGTGGAAATCACGTACGTGGCTGTTTCGTTCTCGCACGTGGAGCTCCCAACGTCGACGATGGCACCGGGCCCGAAGGTGCGGTTGGTCAGGTCCACCGGGGTGCCCCCTTTGGAGATATGGATACCAGCAGCCCAGAACAGGATGCAGGCCTTGTCCTCTGTCTGGTTGTAGGCCAGCGGAGGGTAGGAGCCTCTGGCCTCTGACTCACCCTCATCCCTGGAGGCCAGCAGCTGACGGCTAGGCCCCAACACCATCATGGGGCCATCCTGGGTAATCTGCGCAGACAGAAATGGGGTTAAAAAGGACGGGTAGGCCATTCAGCCCATCGGAATCTGCTCTGTCAATCAGAGCGAGCTGCTCTGATTATCCTCCACTCCATTTCTCCCTCTAACTCCCCTTCCTGAGTAAGCATCTCTCTCTCTCAGCCTCGAATATAACGCCTCGATCCCCCTTCCTGATTAAAAATCTCAGCCTCGAGCGACCCAGCCCCGACAGCCCTCTGCGGTAAAGAATTCCACAGACTCACTCCCCTTGGTGGGAAGAAATTCTTCCCCATCTCTGTCTTCGTTGGGCGACCCCCCCCATCTTACTCTGAGATGATGCCCCCTCTGGTCCTAGACTGTCCCACTCAAGGTGGGGGGGTGGGAAACGATCCCTCCACATCTCCCGTCAGGTCTCCCCACCTACTTTTTCTGTTTCAATAAGGTCGCCCCTCATTCTCCTAAACTCTACTCAACCTCTCCCTCATAAGGCAGCCCCTCCATCCCCGGGATCAGCCGAGTGATCCTTCTCTGCACTGCCTCCAATGCCGGTCTATCTCTGCTTGGATACGGGGCCCCAAAACCGTTCACTGTGCCCTCTCTGGTTCTTCGTACGGTTTTAGCAAAGCCTCCAGACTTTTGCAATCCATTCTCTTTGGAATGGAAGGCCAACATCACAATTCCCATTCCCCGATAAAACTGCCCGCTCGCCTTCGGAGACATCGCCGCAAAGATTCCCCAGGTCCTCCCTTCCGCAGTCTCTCGCCTTTCAAATAACGTTCCGCTCCTCTCTTCTTCTGGAGAATGCGGGAAGCGTGAGCTTCTCCCCACAACGCTGCATTCCCTTTTAATTCATCACGCGCTGGGATTAGGCAAATCTACGAGTGCGGGCCCGGGGATTAGCTCCCCCTGGCCGATCCCGCTAGCTGCGTTTAAAATTCCTACCGGAGGTGGGGTTGAAAGCACAACCCCCAATCAGACACAGTCGCATAGAGCGCGGCAGCAGGGTTCAGGGGGAGGGGGGTGTGTAAACAGCGTTGCTGCTCCTTACCTTGGAAGGTCGGGATGCAGTAAGGATGGCTAGGAAAGGCACACCCTCCGATTTCAGGGTCTGTAACACTTCCCCAATGATGTTGTCTGGTAAAAAAAAACCCACAGAAATAGCGATGTGATGCATTAACGTGCCCCTGGACATCGGTGCACACTCGCGCTCCGTTCACAGGCAATGACCATCTCCACCAACACGAGAGACAGAGACAGAGAGAGAGCGAGCGCGAGTCTAACCATCGCCTCCTTGATATTCAATGGTCTTACCATAACTGAAATCCCACCCCGCCCTCCCCAAATTAATATCCCGGGGTTACGATCTCCAACAAGAGAGGATCTAACCATCACCCCCGACTTGATGTTCAATGGCATTATCATCACTGAATGCCCCCCCCCACCCCCATTATCAACATCCTGGGGATTCCCATTGACCAGAAACCGAACTGGGACCCAGCCCCATATCAATGCAGCGGCTATAAGAGCAGGTCAGAGGCTGGGAATCCTGCAGCGAGTAACACCCACCCTGACTCTTTACCCCCCAACAACCTGTTCCACCATCGACGAGGCACAAGGCAGGAGGGTGAGGGAACACTCCCCCACTTGCCCTGGATGGGGGCAGCTCCGACAACACTCGAGAAGCTTGACACCGTCCAGGGACAGAGCAGCACGCCCCCCAACACCACACCCCCAGCTCGATCGACACGCTAACCCCCACTACCTTCAACACTCACCCTCCCCACACAACCAACGCACTGCAGCAGCAATGCGTACCGTCTACAGGACGCAACGCAGCAACTCGCTGAGGCTCCTCCTCCGACAGCACCTTCCAAGCCCTCTACCCCACCCCAGAAGGACGAGGGGGGGGGGGGCAGCAGACTCGGTGGGAGGTGGGACACCACCTCCGAGAGGACCCCGCCCCCCCCCCCCACCCAACACCGCCCCCGGGACTAGGAACAAGGGGGGCTGTCCCCTTCAGTGTCGCTGGGGTCAGAATCCTGGAACTCCCTCCCCAACGGCGGGGACACTACGTCCCGTCACCACATGAGGCACGGGGAGGGGAGGTGGGAGAACTGCAGTGGTTCAAGGAGGCAGATCACCCGACGTTTCCCACCCTCCCCAAACAAAATTCCCATCAGCAG